GTTTTTCAAAGATGTAAGAGACAAACACAAAGGTAGAACAGAGGTGAAATGAGTACTGTTAAAATATTCGAATATGGCATAGAGTGAGGTGATGGTAGTTTGAAGTGAGAAGTCAACTGCCAGTTAATAGACTTGCCGTATGATTATACGTTGCCCAGGGTGCACCACGTGGAAGTAAGTCTATCGCACACCCCATGTCCAGAATATAAAATGAAAACATCATCGGCTGGTTAAATAATTGGACCTTTTACTACAAAGACAAACGCAAATCAGTATTAAATTCGTCCATTTGTTTTATTGGGCACAAAAAGATGTGAATGGTAAACAAATTAGTCCCTTAAATAAACCCAAGTAGAAGTAAGACAGTTAAATTGCTGGGAACGCAAACTCCTATTTAATTCCCGTCATTTCTGTGCCTAAAAAAACGGGCGTTTTGCCTAACTTTTATATGAATAAAATGCTTATTAGGTTGAGTGACTGATTCGTTATATTGACAGGAATTTTGTTCGCGGCGAGTTTTCATTGCTTGATCTTGTCAAGTGCTGACTGAACATTTGTTGCGTACAGCTGTATTAATTTTAAACATCAACAAGGCAATTTACCATCTACGTGCTAACGCAATGGCTGAAAGCGAACCAATTTATTTTATACCTACAGCTGTCAAATAACAGTCTTCACCCTGTGTAATCACAGCCAACGGAATTTTGTCATCTTTAAGCTAATTACACTAAAGTTCTACTCTACTCACCATCGCGTAAAGGCCATTATTCTCTTATGAACTGGAAGAGAAGACCGAATAATAGAGCAGAGCCCGTCTTTCTTGATTAAAAGATTTTGGGAAACGTCATCGCATGCCTGCACGCCAGGATTGGGAGGTGCGACCGTACAGTGACAAATCATTAACCTCTGTTTGTTTAACCTAATCCGCCTGTGTGTACACGTTTTCCACAATACCCGTACTGAATAACGTGCTCCGTACTACACGTCTGTTTCCTTTCATAGCTGAGCCATAGCTTAGCTGGTTCTGGGAGTCTAACTAGATGTTGGAGAATCTGCCATAGAGATTTCTGAGTCGGTCAGGCTTTCTAAGGTAGCAATCCCCTACAAGATATCGGGGCATCAGCACCGATTATTGTAGACCAGTATTTTATCCGATTACTGGGAAATCGTGAAATTTGAATATTTCATTTCTGAGTATAAAAACGAAGCAAAAAAAAATTAATCATCAAATGTTACCTCTATGCCATAATGTTCGTGTAGGCGAATATAGGGTTTTTGTTAGCGTATTTTTTATAATTATTAACCGATCATATATTGGGCTTTTATTCAAAGTCTTTTAGAATAACTTATCGGCATAGATGCTAACTTGATATAAAATCCTCTTTTCAGATCTGAGTCGAAGAGAAATCGTCAATCTTGAGCTAATGCAACCAAATCACGGGTATGGAGTGAGTATTTTGCCGGTTTTAGGGTGCATACAACGCATAATGAGGATGATCTGCCATTTTGCCTCATCGTATGAATACAAAAATTACTTGCAATGTTTAAGATAAAATTAATTATAATCGTTAAGACAGTAAGATTTTAGTTAATTTATTGAAAGGAAAGTTTGAGATTAAATTTGTTAATGTTAAAACATTTGGATACTCAATTTTTTATTTAAGAAATTGGACCTTTTAGAAATCATTTTAGGAAAAAAACTGTTAAAATGTACATTTCATTTCAAATAAATCTTTTATATGGTCTTATAAATGTCCTAACAGTTGAATCTGGGTGTTGATAAAAATAAGATTATCAAGATATTGAAATAATTGAAGTTTGGATTTGGTTATAAAAGAACATTTATTCAAGATCTGTCTACACAGAAAATAATATTGCCATAAAACGTTGGATGCTCTATATTCTTGGGCTCATTAATAAGTCATTAGCAGTTGAGCAGGAACACAGAATGTACATATTCCTTTTGATCAAATATGACTGCAAATAAATTAGGGTTCCTGAGAACTAATAAGACAATAGTATCTAGTACATATAGGAAGCAAAATTTTAAGTAAGAAAATACTTAAATAATAAATTCGTATTCGAAATTACTTAACCGTCTACAAATTATTTCTATATAAAAAATACTAAAAGTGAAAAGTAAAATCATGATTCATACCGTGGAATGTTGCTGGCAAATATGTTCGTTTTTAAATGTTTCATCGATTAGTTCCATTAACACGCTGTATAGTAAAGCTAATTCCTAAGTTCATTAACATGCAGATATTAATTTTTTTTAAATATTTGGCAACGTTAAATCAAATCGGATCAAAAGCTATGATTGCATTTTGCAAATTGGAAAATACTGAAACAAGGTATTCTGTTTTGGCTCTAAAATGTTAATTTAATTTGCAAATAAGAAAGGCGGACAATGAAATTTATCTAGGAATAAAAGGTGAAATCGCTCGCTTTTTTATATATTTGATTAACTTTCCAACTCACCTAAAATACGCTTTCAGTTAACCGAATCGTAAATGTTAATATATTTACGAGCTGTAGTAGAAAATATTCGCTGTTGATTTCAATTGGAAATAATTAAATATTTTATTTACGTGATGCTTTTGTTTGAGAGGATTAGAATCAAATTTACATTAATAAGGAATAAATTGGAAGTGAAGGAAAACAAAAAAATTTTTACCTCAAAATAGACTAAGGTTATATTTATAAGCTTTACTGTCGAGCAGATTTAGAAAATCTACTGTAACAATTGTTCCAATAACTGAGAGAATAGATCAAGTTAGAAAGTAAAATTTAAAATTTTGTATTCATATTCTATTAATCGCAATGTATATTTTTAATACTAATAAACAAACTGGTATTGAGATATTTCATGTCAAATTAAATTATATCTGAAAAATCAATATTCTGAAAGAAAAACAGATTTAGCTATTTTCATTGGCAGAAATCGATTTAAAACGTTCACGCAATTTATTTCAGGCTTATATTCAAATATTTTCGGCTCAAAATTATAGAATCACGCCATCCTTTCATTTGCCGGAAAACTGGGAAGGGAAAGCCAATGAAAATGGCATAAAATCGAAGGAATTGAATGTAATTGATTATCTTAATAGCAGAATAACTCATTTAGCACATGCTGACAAGAAATGCAAATCCCTATTCTAAGTTAGAGAAACTCAATCCTTGAGCTCAGGCGTCGTGTGAAGAAATAGGTAACTCGCTACTTTGAAACACCAAATGTGATGATTTCTCACATTTTTAATTAAAATTAATAATTTCACGAAAATTATCATATAATAGCGTCGAATAACATGATTTTTTAGCTTCTATGTTCAATAAAGTATTTTGAATTCGAATCAGTTAAAACTATTCTTTTTATCATTTCATAGGCTAAAAGCGCTTATTGTACCATAGAAGTTCGTTGAATTTAATGCAGTGAACATTTAGAGTTACCTTTGATTCATCAACAATTTTTTAAAAATATTCCTTGAATTTTTTACACAAAACTAGTGTAAATAAAAAGGTAAACTTCTTAACTAAGTATTGACAAACAATAATAATTCTTGTTTTAAATTTCTCTAAATAAAAGAATATTGTTTTAATAATATGGATGATAAATAAATTGGGCAATTTAAATCCATTTATAACGGAAATTTGTCTTTCTACTAATACTCAAAATATGTGTGCAACTGTTTTTTTCGAAAAGTGCTATTTTCAATAAATTTGGAAGATTACTTCAAGTTTATTTTTCGTAAGGAAATAAATTTTGTGAATCGGCTTTGGCAATCATTTCTTATTATAACTAAAAATAAACAATCTTTAACTGTTTTCTTAAATTATAGACATTCCTTTTAATTTTTAAGGTTAATGAGAATTCAGACT